AATTTAATTAAATAAAAATAAATATAAGAATTTTAATATAATTAAAATAGATTTTTTACCTTCAATTTATTTCTATTTTTGATATGATAAAATCCCATATTACTCCATAATCTTTCAACTGATATAGCATTAGCACAAATACCAAAAATTCTAGAAGCAACTGTTCCTATTTTTGGATATATATCTTTAATCCAATACCAATATTTATATATATTATTTTCAAATTGATGAATTGTTTCATTATCAAAAGTATACTTCTTTCCTTGAGAAAAATCATCAAATTCAACAAGAATAGATTGAGGATCATATCCAGTTCAAACTTTATAATAATATACCAACCATTTTTCCATATGTAAATAATTAATTCTTGATGAAGATGGTGATGTAAAATATTTTGTTCAGTAAAATGGATGAAGAAGTCAAGAAAGAATAAGTAATAGCTGTTTTCAAGATTCCTATCTTTTTTGTAAACGTGTTAAGATCCTATTTGCCATATCACTATCTATATATTTTTTTCAAAATTGTATAAGATAAGCAAACCCATGTAAAACTTCATATAATCTTGCTTTATTTGTTTGTAATATATTGAGAATTTGACAATAAGAAATTAAAAGTTGTTCTAGTTTTATTAAATTTTTCCAAAAATTTTCATTCATAATAATTGAATAAATATCTTGGGAAATAGTTAATGGATCATTTGGTCGATGACAAGTATTTAATTGAGATGGTTCAAATTTAGTAACTAAAAACTAATGAAAAAAATATTTAATTAAAATTAAATAATTAAATGAAATTAATAAAAAATATATAATTAAAATTAAATTAAATTTATATATCCGTAAAGTATTTTTGATTGCTTTTATACTTGAACAACAAGTAAGATAGCTATTCCATCGAGTATCTCCTAGAATTATTGGTTAAATATATTTTCCATAAATTTTTTTTTGAATAGTACAAAATTGTCCAATAAAATATTTATTATTTGCATTTTTAAAATATGCTACTATTTTTAATGCATAAGTTGATGTTATTTTAAATTTTGGTGATACTTTAAAAATTTCACCTACACACAAATTAATTTGGTGAGAATAACAAGGAAGAAAAACAAATTCTCAATATTGGTTTTGATGACGTAACCTACAATATAATTAAAAATTAATTATATAAATTAAAATAATAATAATTACATAAATTAAAATAATTTTAATTAACTGAAAAAAACAAATAAAATTAAGATTTTTATATATAAAAAAGTTACCTTGCAGCATTATATGCTGGTGCACTATCAGTAACAATTGCTAAGATAATTAAATTCAATTCCCTAATATCTATAATCATTTCTTCTGTTTTTGCAATAACATCATCAGTTTTGTGACATTGTTACTAGTCAACCTTTTGGATTAATTTTATTTTCCAAAAGGTAATTTACAATTAGCAACTCGTAAACAGTTACTTTAGTTTACGAATTGAAGAAAATAATAGATGGAGAATTTTTTTTTTTGTATTCGGACTAACCCTTGCTCGTGTTACATGAGTCATACGAGCCCATTTTTAGTTACTAATGACATGTGAGTACTTTCTCATATCATAAACACTCACTGGACCAGCAGGATATTATCCTTCATAGATCCCAGGTTACAGCTCGCTA